GGAGCTCCCAGCCCGTCGGGCGCCGCCAATGCCGACGGCTGTCTGGTGGCGTCCCCGCGTGCTCCTCCGCGCCAGGGACTCTGAACATCCTGCACAGTTCCTCAGGTCTCCCTCCCTAGTTACTCGAGTCCTACTGTCATTCCGGACTTCCCCAACGTCATTCTGCCCCCCACGTTACTCTGGGCCCCTGATGCTTCCCCGCCCCGCGGTGTTACTCTGGGCCTTTTCTCCTGGTACTGGAGTCTTTAACTTCTTACCGAGGACCTTCACTGTGACTGCTCACCGCCGAAACCCCGTCACTCTGGATCTCTTCCTGCACTCGGAGTCCTCGCATCCTCTCTCCGCTCTCCCTGTGGCCCAAGCTGTTACTCTGCTTTGCTACAGACCCGTGCTTTTTGGAGGGGAGGGGCTGAGGTCCCCCACCAGTATCATGTCTCTCCCTCTGGCTCCCACGTTCCTCGGCAGTACTCCATATTTCCCCCTGGTACTCCATGGTACTCCCTGTCTTTGCGGAGGCCGAGTCGGCAGCAGGAAGGGCGCTTTGCCAGACTCCTCGCCTACCCTGCCAGGATGAGGCGCTTGATCCTCTGTCTCCACTGGAGAGGAGACTTCAAGCCTGGGGCTACTTGAAGGAAGAAGCAGTCCTACTGGACAAGTGTGAAGTGAGGGGGTAGAAAGACTCATCTTGTCGACCGGTGGTAGCTACATTCTGAGTGCTTATTGCTGCCATCCCAGGTGAGGGCCCTACTCAGAAAGCCCTGCAGTGCTTGAACCAGCGGCTTCGAGTGCAGGAGGAGGAAATGGAGCTGGTAAAGGCAGCTCTGGCAGAAGCTCTTCGCATGCTACGGCTGCAGGTGCCCCCCACCTCCTTGCAGGGATCTGGCACCCTAGTTCCTACAAGCAACAGGTACGAGTGTCAGCACACCCCTTCCTCCTCCTTCCTGGGGCCTCTGGGTCATTGATTCACTGCTTTCCCAGCAGCACTGCAGCCTCCCCAGGACTGCCACCCACATGCAGTGCACCCTTGGTGAGCCGAGGCACTCAGACGGAGACAGAGGTGGAGATCCAGTCATCGCCTGGACCGCCTGGCCTGAGCAACGGGCCCCCAGCCCCTCAGGGGATCAGTGAAGAGCCCAGTGGGACCCAGTCTGAAGGAGGGGGCAGCAGCAGTAGTGGGGCTGGCTCCCCTGGCCCCCCGGGGATCCTCAGGCCTGTGCAGCCTCTACAGCGCGCTGATGCGTAGGTGTCCTGTGGCGGGCCCCGCTGGGGTGGGTGCACCGGGGAGCAAGATTGAAGGGAATGACCTTCACCTGCTCACTGTGCAACCCTCCTCCCCAGGCAACGGAGAAATTCGTCTTCTTCAACCCCCTCCGAGCGGCCTCGGCAGAAACTCTCCAGAAAGGCAGCGTCCTCTGCCAACCTGTTACTGCGGTCAGGGAGCACTGAGAGGTGGGCGAGGCTCCCCTCAACCTGCCTGGCCCTGCCCCAGGCCCTTGACCATTCACACCCCTCACCTCACTTCCCTAGGTGGGGTGGGGGGACCTCATTGCCTAATAGGAAGAAAGGAGCAGGCGCTCCTGGGGTACCTGCTGTGTTCTGGGCACTGTGCTAAACCCTCAACCTCCTACTTCTCATGTGGTCCCCACAACCTCCTTAGGGGTAGGTGGTCTTATGCTGTCCATTGCTCAGATGAGGAATCAGGTTCAGAGGGGGTAAGTCATTTGCCTGGAGTCACACAGCTACAGTCAGGATTTGAATCCAACTCTTACTGTCTCCAGTTCCTCTACCCTTTCCACTTTGTCACAACATACCTTCCAAGACTCTAAGAGGCTTTTCCACAAGCTCCTGTGATTTTCATAGGTGGCTGTCCTCAGAGCTTCTGCCCACCCTCCCTGCTAAATCTACCAAGTACGAATCTACCTACTTCTAGAGGAGCAAGGGGACATCCTAGAGGCTGGCCATAGTAGTCTCAGAGTATGTACAAGCCCAGGACACCCGAATGTTCATTCTAGCCCTGTCCTTGGCCTCTATCCTCAGAAGAGATGTTACCACTTTATTACCCAGTGACAGTGACCTCTAGCATTCACCCGTTCCCTTCCCTTCGAGTGATAAGGATGTTCTTGCTTACCTGCCAGATCCCTGAGAGTCAGAGCTGGTGTACATTCTAGATTCACCTTGGTTCCATTTTACAGATGGGGAGATGAGAGGGTCAATAACTAGAGGCCTGCTGGTCTGGAGGAAAGGGCTTTGACACCCTGCACTGCCTCTTACAGACTCTGTGGCTTTGTGCCATACACGTGGCGTTTTCAGCCTCCATCTTTTCATCTCTTACATGGAAA